GATGAGGGTGTAGGGCTTTCGGGATCTAGCAGTCGCGGGCTACTGACGCCAGAACCCTTAGGAACCTTTCGGGAGAGACAGACAGAGTGCGTTAGATCCCATCACTCTCCGACCAAGCTGATGATGAGAATCATGATGACGGTGATGATGATGATGATGACGATGTTGGCGGTGGTGGCGGCGGTGGTGGTTGTGGTTGTCGCGGCGGTGGTGGTGGTGGTGGTGGTGGTGGTGGTGGTGGTGGTGGTGGTGGTGGTGGTGGTGGTGGTGGTGGTGGTGGTGCTGCTGCTGCTGGTGCTGCTGCTGCTGCTGCTGCTGCTGGTGCCGGCGCCGGTGGTGCTAGTGGTGGTGGCTGTAGTGGCGGTGCTGACGAATGTGGTGATGAGGATGGTGGTTGCAGTGGTGGTTGTGGTGGTGGTGGACGTGGCCATGGAGAGGAAGAAGAAGATCGCGATGAAGACCAAAGATGATGGTGATGGTGATGGTGATGGTGATGGTGATGGTGATGGTGATGGTGATGGTGATGATGATGATGATGATGACGAAGACAACCGTGCTGATAGTGACGACGACGGTGATGGTGATCATGATGATGGCAAAAGTGATTGCATTGATAGTTGTCGTGCCGCATGCTTAGCAACACACTCGAAAGTACCACGAGTAACCCGGGCTTCAACTTGCTCTGTGCCACATAGAGGGCTTAGGGTCCTCGGGCTAACAGTGGGTTTAGGGTTTGGATTCCAGGCCTCACAAACTTACCAAAGCCAGAGAAAGCAGAACATACTCTCATGATTCAAACCCAACTCCAGCCACAAGTCCGGCTCAAAGCTCATCGAAAAAAGCGTCGATGTCATCCGGCGCGAAGACCTGGCAAGACTGCCTTCTGTTGAAGATCGTACGTGCTACGACTAGATATCTGAAGTACACTGACTGGAAGCACGACTCTGACATTTGGGCTGGGATTTCGGATCAAAGCTGTATTTGTGATTGAAGCCCGAACCCTATCCCAAGCAACTTGCCTGGTGATGGTAGCTGTCCGGCATCCCAGAAACCTGACAGTGCATCATGAAAGGCTTGCTCTCAAGCCCACGAAACGACAGTCGTGTATAGGACCGTACAGGCAGAATATTCGTGGAGCTCAGAGCGATTATCACATCCAGAGCAGCTCTTCCACGCCGGTGGGCGCGGGTTCAGGGTTTAGGGCTTCGGATTTTACGGCCTAGGGCTTGGGATTTACACCAGAGTTTCAGAAACAAGGGATGCTAAACTCTAGGAGTCTGTTCATGGTAGCGCGCCCCTAACCTGATTTATCAGACAAAACTATGACAGCACAAAAGCCTGCAAATTGGGCACCACCCAATACAAAAAAAGCCCCACATCGGCCTCGGCATCTGCTTCGGCATCTGCTGCGGCGAGGTCGAAAAACTCCACGCCGCCCTTCAATGGGTAATAGTAGTAATACTTGGAGGTTCATGGGTCGTTATAAGTAGTGTAATAACTAGGGAAACTATACTTATAACCCTAATTACGGGACTTATAGCCCCACTTATAACTAACACTGAACCTCCAAGTACTGGCAGTAAGAGCATATAAGTGGTAGCAGTAGCAGGAATCAGATTCATACGAGGTTTCAAAACGAGTGAGAGCTCTATCATGTCGATAGAGTTGGGATTGAGGCTTGGGCTTTGCGCTTGTGCAGCATGTGGAGCTTAAGATGGATATGCTGTCTGTCATTTGAGGTTCGGGATCTCTGGAGTTTTGGTGGGCAACTTGGGGTGATGGCTTCGGGCGTGGCAGAGTGGGATCTCACCAAATACCCCGAACATGCACAGGACCCAGAACTTCAAAGCCTTAAACCCAGAACTTCGTGAACTCCCACTATAAAAAAAAAGCTTGCGACGGTAAGCACTAACTAGGTACCTCAATGGAACATAACCGACCTGAACCCACGCAACCCAACCAGTGCCACACCTGAACACCTGTCTCTTCGTGGCACTCGGGACCAAAACCGGAGGGTGGGGCTCTGGCTCAGGAAGGAAATGGCGCCCTGACTTAGAAACCCAGAACATCAGAGCCCTGGTGATGGACAAATTCCTGGACTATCCACGAGGACTCCTCCAAAGTTGCGTGGTTTAGGTGCCTCGGGTAATGCAGGGTCTTGCCAATCATCCCTCCTGGTTGGAACCTGCCTGAGCTCCTGCAGCTTAAGTTGTTGATCCTATTTCTTGTGCCACCGACATGGAGAAGAACTAGACTTGTTGAATTGTGTGACAGGCATCCAGAACCTAAGCCCAAGCCACATATCGAAACAAGTAACTCTTTGACACTATCTCACTATCGCCCAAGGGCCAATGAATCGAACATGAAGGGTTGCAAGACGAAAAGGTCCCGGGTATTGAAGCCCATGACGAAGAGGCTGAAGAAGAAGAAGATGATGATGATGTTGATGGCGATGATGATGTTGATGACGATAAGGATGCTACTGATCATGATGATGGGCTGATCATGATGGTGATGATGATGAGACTGATGCCACACGCTGAAATCTTCAAAGCCAAAACGTGAGTTGAACGCAGAACCCATAGGGTTTTGGAACTGAGCGAGGCACATCGGCTTTCCGTGGCCTCACCGGGCTGTGCTCGTTCGGGACTTCGGGTCGAGCGGAGTGGGTTTCAAGGTGGTGCAGGGCTGAAAAGCATAGAAAAGCTTACATGGGGGGGGGGGGGGGTTCGGGTTTACAAAGTGGTGTAAAACACACTTAGGCACAGTCTTTGCACTCCGGGCGCGACATAACATAAGGTGCAGGCTGCCCAAGTCCTAACCCAGCCTTGCAAACCATACTTTGGCACGATGCTCAGTCTCTCTCGAGCGCACGCAATATGTTCATCCACAATCCATCTACCTTTCATATCCAAGTGTATCGGTTGATCTTTTTCAAAACTGCCCATCTCCAACCACTCGACTCTTCTGTGGCCCTGAATCCAGGTACAGGTTTGCATGTCATTGCGGCTCCTCTATGGAAGCCTTGTCAGATTCCTTCGTATTGCAAGAGTGTCGCACCCTTTCGGTACCCAACAAGATCCCGAATCTGGAAAACTCCCCAAATCCGCCGAGGCCAGAGGCCCAGGCGTTTTGGTGGTTACCTCAGGTACCCTCCACCTAATCCTCCTCCCTGCAGCCGAAACGACCGGTGACACCCTGTTTTTGCGTTCGTTTGCCACCCCCTTGCCCGCCCCCCCTCCCCCCCCCTCCCTCCCTGTGCCCGTTTTCCTGGCACTTCGTATCAACAACTGTGTAAAGCTTGGGGTTTGACAGGCCGCCCTAGCATAAAAGAACATCGACTGCCCCCTCGCCCTGCCGCTACACAGCCGAGGCGGGCGGCGTAGCGTTAAATTAACTTGGTCAGCTCAGCCGCCCTCTGGACGCTGCAGCTGCAGCGGCTGTCGCTGAATTCTCGGAATCGTCCTCTTCGGGGTACAGGGTTTAGCGGTCTAGGGTTCAGATCATGGGATGTGAATCAGTGAAGGCTTAGGTGTCGGGTTCGGGGTTTAGGTTTAACGTATGGGTTAGTCGTTCACAGGTCCATGCCCAAAGACCCAGAGCCGCAAAGATTTCCCCATGCCTGTGGCTCGTTGCTCATAGGCTCCAGGAAGACATCAACAGCACAGCCTGCGAAGACGGAGGTTCGGAAGCTGGGTGCCGCACGCGTCATGAAAAGGGTTTAGGATTCACTTCGGGCAGGGGTTTACAGATTCGTCTAAGGCGGGTTTAGCCCCAGCCTGCTGCCTCAGAGAACAGCCCACCTAGGAATTCCCAAGCCCTAAGCCCTTCCATCTTCACCTGACATGGTCCTTCAAGTTCTACAGGACTTCACATCTGACACTAAACATGTCGGGCTTACGGCATGCGAAAAATAGAGCTTTAAGGCGTTCGGTTTAGGGGTTTGGGGCTAAGGGGCCTAAACAGTCAGTCCAGCTTGATGTACACTCGAGCTGGGGGAGAGTATCCTCACATCAAAGATATGATTACTGTATTAATTTCCGCCAGCGGCGATGGGTCTACACTATCTATACCAAGGGCATGTCAGCCATGACCCACATGCCAAACACTAAAATCCCCTAGAACGGAACACCTAGACTGTTTATGGATCCAGCGTCCTAATGCTCGAACGAAAGGCATACGCCGGAAAAGAAGGCATTCTTCAATGTCCATCGGCGGCATATGACCCCCCCCCCCCGGATTTAGGGGACATAAGCTGGCATGTGAAGGCTTCGAATCTGCGTTCTCAGGGAGTTGGATCCCGCATGGTCGAGCAGATCACGGTCGCAAGTTTGCGGGAGGGCCTTTTTTTGCACCGGGCAATAGGCGAGACTCAGAGACTCAAGCTGCAAGCAAGCAGGAACAACGACGACGCGAAACACCAATGACCAATGGGGAATCCTGTAGTTGGACACAGCCTTCGCAGACCCGACAGCGTCTTGAGGCTCCTTCGGAAAGAAACAAGACGCACCAAATGTCTGGGAACATCCCCTGCTCTGGACAATCGCAGCAGCAGCTAGAATCGAAAACTTGCTCCTTTCCGGATTATGGCCGCTGGCAACAGAAGAGCCTACCAAGCTCACCGTAGTATTAAAGAACAAAGCTGGCTGCAAAAGAAGGCTTACGAAACAAATACTGCTCGGCACCCAAGTTCTCCCTACCAGCAGCAGTTGCACAAGCCAGACAGCGATTGACAGGAGCTTGGTGCGAAGGCAAACGGCAATGGGTTGCTGTGCCAGCTTGCGGTGGCATGTGGAGCCGTGAGCGATGCTTTTGTGCGGGGAGATGCCTGCTTTTCATAGCAAGCGGGTTGGGTGATGCACGACAGTGCTCAAGAATAAACCGTATGGCCAAAACTTCAACCATGGACCCTCAACCCTGAACCCTCAACCCTGTAACCTTATAAGCTTAAACCCTATAGCCGGACAACGCGTAAACACCAGAACCCTAAACCCTCATAGAGCCCTTTAAAGGAACCCTTATAGCACCCCTTGAAAGGAACCCTTAAGGTACCCAGAGTGATCCCCAGGAGTTCCGCGCCTTCGGGTCGCGGCCCCCGGGCCAGGTCTAACTCTGCGGCGTCGAAGCCTCGGGAGGCGCGGCTTAGCCAGGCTGGGGGATGTATCGGGCTTAGGGTTTTAAGGTTTAGGGTTTGGGGCTTAGGGTTTTGAGGTTCAGGCTTTAGGGCTCAGGGTTTTAAGGTTCAGGCTTTAGGGCTTAGGGTTTTAAGGTTTAGGGTTTTAAGGTTTGGGGTTTGAGGCTTAGGGCTTAGGGTTTAGGGTTTCGGGCTTGGGGTTTAAGGCTCCTCCGGGTTTCGTAGGGGCGTTGCAAGGGCTTTGTGAGGGGAGGTTTCCTTGGGTTCTATCAGGCTCAATAAGTATTTCTGGCAACCACGATCCTACTGCAATGATCTTATTCACAGAATTACCTACACCGACAGGACGAATCGCAGTGGTCAGTACCTGTAGTTTGGTCACCTACATCATGGTACCAATACGCAACAACCATCACAGTCTCTTCAAACGAAAAGCAAGAGCAACGATGGCGACAACCGACACGACGACGATACCGGCGACGACGACGAAGACGATGCCGGTAAAGACGACGACACAGCTAGACTACAACTATTATCACTACGGCGACGACGACGACGAGCACCTCGCTTCCCACCACAGCTCACGAGCAAAGCAGCATCAGTAAGCACGGGCAGTTCTTCGGGCTCTTGGTAGAAGAGAGGTAGCACATACCATGTATATACAGAGCTGGAGCGAAAAAGGCATGCTAACCTTCGGGGCTGCTGTATTCTCGATATTGTTGCCTCCTGACAGTTGCAGATTCCACCGAGCTGCGCTTCACGCCACCAGCTGCAGCCAGGAAGGCTGTGTGAAAGCAGACCTGGCTTCGTGCCCTCGGGTTTTAATCGACTGTGGGGCATTAAGGATTTGAGTTTCAGGTTCAGGGTTCAAGTTTTCGTATTCTAGAATTAGATTTGGGTGATCTTGCTTCATGATGTGGGGCTGCGCTCTCTCAGGGTTATCAAGGTTCGAAGGCTTCCCGTCCAGGACCTGCGACATTCACCCTGACAGCCTTGTACTTGAATCAAACCTGAAGCCCATCGCAAGATGCTCCCAGACTCAGGACAGAATGGCAGGGCTTTGGGTTAACATGGTGCAAATATTGCTATTCTTGTTGTTATTATCATTATTATTCATATTAATATTAGTATTACGACCACTGTTATCATTATGTTTATTAGTTTGAGGCCTACAACCTGAACCGATGGCTCACCTGGAATTCCAACTGCCAGTCGTCCACAGCACCGCCTTTCTCCTGAGTGTGCTTTGGGCTCTGGGGGACTTGGGGGTTTCGGGCTCGGTGCTCATGCGGCTCCACTCAGCCTCTTAAGGACCCCTAGGTATATACCCTTAATATAGCTATTATATACCCATTTTATAGCCCATTATAGGGTAGGGGTCCCCATTAAGGGTCCCTCCTTACTTGGACAGCGATTGACTGTGCAAAGTTTTGCGTGGACTTCTAAGGTTTCTGGTCAGGGTCTTGCGTAATTGGAAATTTGGAGTGCTACTCATCGGGTTGCTCTGGCTTTCGATAGGCTGAGCACCCCTTACCCCAAAACCCAAATCCCAAACCCCTTTAAACACCCTAAACCCGAAAAGAAGCAACCCTAAGCCCTAAAACCCTCTCTCAAGCCCAGTCGCTGTGGGCCGCTGTCGCGTGACCATCCTTGACAGGGCAGGAATGACTAGAAAGGAAATTTGGAGCTGAGGGTTCAGCGCTCGCGGTACAGAGTTTATGTAGGGCAAGGGGCTTGGGCATGTACCTCCTCTTCCCTCTCAGATCCGCTGCGGGTCTCGACTGCCAGGCCAGACGGCTTGCGGTTTGGGGACTTGGCATTCGGGGATTGACCACCCGAACACCTTGTGGATCGGGGGATTCGGTGCAGACATGTCTTTTCTACAGACCCAGCACTCTCCATCTCTGACCATAGCAGCAAAAAAAAGGCCTAATCCCCTGAGCCCATCCTTCCCCAAAATAGATAACTATTAGGAAAATTGAGTGGGGGCGAGGGTTGCGAACATGCTTACCCCGTATACTGGTGGGAATCAGGAGGACGGCCAAACGTGCTTGACCCGAAGTCCTGGCGGAACACAGAATTTTGGAGGCCAAGGAATGCCCTACACACTCTCTGGGGAAACATTGGCAACCCCAAACGCCAAACCCTAAACCCTAAACTCTACCTCTAAACCCTAATCGAACCCTAAACCTTAAACTCTACCTCTAAACCCTAACCGAACCCTAAACCCTAAACTCTACCTCTAAACCCTAATCGAACCCTAAACTCAAAACTCTACTCGTAACACTCCCGGCCTCATGGAGAGATCCCCGAAACAGCCGTCGTTCGGCGTGACGCGGAGCGCGGAGGTGTGGCAGACGTCGTCGTCCTCCCCTTGGGTTTTGGTTTCAATGTGTCTAGGGTTTAGGGCTGAGGGTCTGCTAAGAGGTTCTTGGGATTTCAACGATGACTACACTCTACGGCGGCTGTACGGCTGCAGGCTATTCTTGGTTCGCGGCTGATGGTTGGCTTTATAGTTTGGGGTCCGAACTTTGCGGCTTTAGCAAGTAGGACTAGAGCTTGGAGAGCTTTCGGGGGCTTCAATCTAAACTTTTCGGTGAACCCAAGCACCTAATAATCAACTTACACCAAAGTTCCCCAAGCCCGGTTTTAGTTTCTCGTATCGGGCACTAGGGCCCAGGGACGAATTCAGGGACGAAGAAAGACGTTTGGTGTCAAGAGCAGATGCTGTCTTGGGCGTTCCACCTTGTAATGGCTCTTGTGAACAAACCCGAAACGCTAAACCCGTATGCCACACAATAAGAGGCTGACGAATGTGGGCGCGAAAGACGAGCTGGTCCTGTGGCAAATGTCAGGCGCATCAACTCTTGCCGGTAAAGGGTTTGGTGATTGGACTTGGGGTTTGGACCTTGGGGGCCCAGGAGAACGACACCTCTGCAGACTTGGTCATGCTGTGTAGCAGACAACATGAAGACTTCTAGTTTCACTGAGAGCCCTTCACCAAGGATCCCTCTGGTATTATTGACTGTATCATCCCGCTGCGTCCGCAGATCAGATCATGGGGACTTGGCGCGAGCCCGAACCGCAATGCAAGCTGCAACGTAAATTCCCGGCGCAGTTCCGGTTTAGCATCTTACCCGGCACTGTGCTTCTTCGCCCAAAAACCTGATTAACACAGAAGGTGAGTGCCTAGGGCGGACTGTCACAATGCCGGCATTTTGCTGAAGGCAGTGCTCCTTATTTCAGATGCATCATGAGCTTAAAATTCAAGCTGCTAGCCACTTGTTATCTAAATGAAGAACACCTCAACCCTCAAAAGCAAACACCTACAACTACAAGTCCCGAAACCCGAAAATCGCAGGCCTGTTTCCAAACCTCCAGCAACCTTTCGCGGTCTTCGGAGCCCGCATGAAGCAGGACCTCGTTCGCTGAGCACCACCAGAACCACGTACTACTGCTCTTCTGCACCTGCTCTGCTATCAGGAAAAGAACAACCATGACAATACTGATAATAGAACGAGAATAGCAGGAAAGAGGTTGGAGGAAATGCGACTCGGCGAGTGATCAACCTGAACTGAACATTGGTTGATCTAAGCATGACAGGCGAGACACTAAGCGTCAATCCAGCAACACAAAACAAGGTAGCCGATGTGAGCGAGCCTGGTCATTCCGAGTCATTCCGCAGATTCAATTCTCCGAACTTGTCCAACTGGAAGATCTAATACCTTACCGTTGGTTAGTAGGGAATGGAAGAATGGTAGTAATAGTAGTTATAATGGTACCCCATTCCTCCATTCCCTACTACCCTAACCCTAAACCCTACTACCCTAAACCCTAATCCCTACTACCCTACTACCCTGCTACCCTAAACCCTAAACCCCATTCCTCCATTCCCTACTAACCAACTTCAAGCTACCCCGGCGCCTGCATTCTGTAGGTCCAAAGATGTTGAGACTCGGAATCTGAAACTTCTGAATAAGGACCCTAGGTATATACCCTTAATATAGCTAGTATATACCCATTATATAGCCCATTATAGTGGAACTCTCCGTCCCTCCATTCCCCTAGACCCAGGAGCCCTCTGATTCTGATTCTGGTCACGTCTTGTCACCTGAAGCCCTTCCGACTCAAGTCTGCACAGTCCCTGCGCATTTCACCTTGACGGCACTTCCCGGACTAGCTCGGCCTTAAAGCCCTCAGCCCTGAATCCTAAACTCTTCTGGCGTCCAGCTAGGGTTTACCTGGACCCTGATATAACCCTCGTGTTCAAGTACGCATATAAGGAAACCATGAGGAGGAACTCTGAAAAGGTAGGTTCTTCAGGGTCCCAGTAGGGTTTAGGGTTCAGGTTTAGGGTTTTTTATTTTACACCTTTTTCCAGAGGTTTAGGGTTTAGGGCTTAGGGGTTAGGACGAGAACTCCCTTGGGCTGCCGGCGACCCGCGCCAGGCGTCCCTCGCCCTGCGCCTGGAGGTCCAGGCCCCCTTGCAGGAGGCCGAAATAGCCTCCAGAGCTTGAGAGCTTGGGTTTAGGGCCTAGGGTTTAAGGTTTAGGTTTTAGAGCTTGGGTTTAGGGGTTTGGGTTTAAGGTTTAAGTTATTTAAGGTTTAGGGTTTAGGGGTTTGGGGTTTAAGGTTTCGGGTTTAGGGCTTTAGGAAGTCGGCAGCGGGCTTTAGGAATGAAGGGTGTGGCATTAACACTCGAGGGTGGAGGGTTTACAAACAGGGTTAGCGGCTTCGGGTTTAGAGTTTATGTGTGCGGGCACTGCACTGTTTGGGGTCCGGGGTAGTTTGAGGAATTTGAGGGCTTCGGGTTTAGGACTGCAGTGTGCCTGTTGCAAGAGCTGTTCTTCTTTCGCTTACCTCAGGGCTTTATGAGCTATTGGGGGATCTAGGCTCTTGAAGGTACTTTTCTTGCTGCGTGATGTTCTTTTTCTAAGATTCTGATGGAAATCTAGGGTTTTGAGAGCAAAGGGGCAGTAATGGGACCTATGCTGCAAGCAGACAGTCCTATCAAATCCTTGCGGGTGCCATAAGACCGCTGGAAAGCAACTCCTTCAGCATTTAAACAGGCCGCAGTAGCGCTCTTAACCCTACACCCCCTCCCCCCAAATCCGAAAGGCCAACCCCCTAAACCCGCAAACCCGAAAACCTAAAACATCTCAATACCTAAGGCCTACCATATCCTAAACCCTAAACCCTAAACCCTCACAGATCTCCACCGACGAGGGCCCCGGCTCAGATATCGACGCTGCGACGGCCACAGGACGTCAGGCAGGCCAAGGAGCCTTTCTTGTGATGGTTCAACACAGCTTCCTTTTTGCGTTTAGGGTTTAGGGTTTTGGGTTTAGGGTTTAGGGTTTTAGGGTTTAGGGTTTAGGGTTTAGGGTTTAGGGTTTAGGGTCGTTATTTGGGGGGAGGGGGTGGGGGGGCAGGGGGGGTTCTAGGAGATACTTGGAGCTTACGAGTTGCGGTTTGGGGATTCCTTAAAGCGGCTTCGATTTCCTGCCCTGCCTACATACGGCGCCCGTTTCACGCGATACTCGAAGATCACGAAGGATCGAACCCTAAACACTGAACGCAAGCCCCGCGTGCCTCATGACTTCCTGCATGGCCTCCCTGGGGTGGTCCGCCAGGCCCAGCCAACTCAGATAGCCTAGGGATCACCAGAGTCCTACAAACAAGAAGTGCTATAATGGTTCTCGATAAGGATTGCTATCTAAGGGACCCGAAGAAGGGTCACCTTTACAAGAAGACCTCTACATAAAACGAGGATTTAGGATTTAGGGTTTTCAGGCTCTGAGGGTTCTAGGATTCGGGGCTGCGGATATCGAAACAAGGCGTCCAAGAGCGGAGATCCCAAAACAGAAGGTAAAACAACTCTCTGCTTTCCGGCAACAGGCATCTAATCAGAAAAATGGAGCCTAAATCTAAACAGCAATTACCCACAGAAGCTCCGAAAAATGAACCAGTCGAACCCAGCAGCAGGCGTAGAGGAGCACGACCGGACAAGGTCCTCCCAGTGTTTTCGGCAGAGACAAGTTTGAAGGTTACGCTTTAGGGTTTAGGGCGTAGGGCTTAGGGCTTAGGCTTTAGGGCGATGGTTTCAGGAGGGTTACGCCGAACTCATATTTTGTGTTCCTGCGAAGCAGAAGCATACAGCTGGTAGGGGCTGCAAGCGAGGCTGTACAGACGACGAATCTTCAGGTCTTATGATATTCCGAATTTGGCACGACAAGGACCACAACAACCGGGACGATGCGGCAACTAGCAATCCGGGCTCTTTCTTGATCAAGTCTCTTCACCCGAGTCTAACCTGCCTGGGCCGGTGGCTGTCGGCACAGCAGACTCCTCAGCAAAGCCAGCTGCATGTGCAACTCGAACCCAGAGAACCGAAAAACAGATCAAAACTGGTCTCCGCAGCATTTCAGAAGTATATACTCTGCCAGACGGAAACACGACTTGGGCTCCGGAAGTGTTCCGTAATTCCGGATTCTGGGTTTGGGGTTGGAGGCACAGGAGCTCCTTTCGCTCAGCACCCTCAAGGCCCGAAGTCGAAGCGTGCCGAAACAGTGAGAAGACGCCTTCCCCAAGCCCGAAATGGGAGTTTCCGAAAAATTGGGGTACCTATTTTGGGGTCCTTATAAAACTTATTCCCACTATTTAGGGTACTATATTAGGGTCCCCTATTTTCGGAAACTCCCAAATGCTAAGCCAGAAAATCCAAACCCCCCTCAACCTCCACTGCAAGCACTCAGTCTCCGCAATGCGGACCTCTGCCCTGAATCCAAATCTTGAAACTCTTCAGCCGGCTCATGAAGGACACTTACAGGGCCCCGGCATTCGGGCCGTGGGCAACCACGACGTTTGAAGGCGTCCGCGTGAGCCAGCGGTGCATAGACACCACTAGCCGCAGCCTGGAAGGAGTGGAAACTCGGGTTGAGGGTTTAGGGTTTAGGGACTACTATAGGGGCCTTAGTAATTGGAATAGGATTTTGGGACCCATTACACTATACTTATGATAAGGAACCAACATCATCAGCAGAATCACGAGCAACATCATCGTCATCAGCATCATCATCACTATCGCCGCTGCCCAGCGAGGGATTGTGCACGCTGCAGTCTTTACTCAAACAGTGGAGTCAGCAGCAGCAGGGCAGTACTGTGCAATCCTTCGCCGCAACCTCAAGCCCGCCAGTTCTTGTGCTTCAGGTGGCTCGCTTTAATGAGGAGGGTACTAAACAATTAGGCATCATAGTCCCCCCATACATGGTTGACCTACCTGTTTTTACCTCCCCCACCCACCGCACGCGAGTGCAGCGGTACTATGTGCACAGCATAGTCTTTCATGAAGGCGAGACCACCCGCAGTGGGCATTACCGTACAGCGTTGCTCAGGAATGGTTTCCTAGCATACACCACAGACGATGGCAGAATACCTGCTCTCGTACGGGACTCCGAGGCCACACATATCATGCTTAACTCGTATGTTTTCTTTCTGAGCACCACTCAAGCATAGCTTCGTTACTAGCACTCTGCCATACTGCTGATATTTATGTTGTTTCTTTGCACCCTTACGACCCTTAGCAGTGTCAAATTTTTACATGCTTTGTATTCCTCTTCATAAGTGCGCATCTGCTTGAAGGCCCCTCGGGGCGGGATGCGCTACCGGCAGAGTGCGTTTTTAAATAGGGTTGAGAGAACTGGGGCCAACAGCACGCGTCACAGAGTGATGCCGGCCGTGCACGGCTGCCCTACGCAACACGGACTCCCTCCGTGGCGATGGAAAGAATCACTATCGCCATCTGCGACAGCATTGGTGACCATTGGAGCTTTGTGCTGCCGGTAGGGCTTCAGGCTGCCTTCGAGGAAAGCGTGAGGCATTAGGGTCGGGCCAAGGATGTTCTCGGTTAAGGGACTAGGAGAGCCTCCGACTGCCTCTTGGGAGGAGTCCAGCTGCACCCCCTTCCCACCGCAGCTGCACTCTCAGACCCTCTCCCCCACATCTGTCGACCCGAAACATCCACACTCAAGTCGTAAGGCCCTACATCATAAACTCCCGAACCCTAAACCCTAAACCCTAAACCCTAACCTCTGAACCTAAGGCAGGAGCAACGGAACTTCTCAGGAGCCGGCAGGACCTCCAAAGGCGGGACGCACCCAGACATCATGACGTCTAAAACAGGGCCTGGCTCTCCGATAGGCCCTTTTTGTTAGGGTTTAGGGTTTAGGGTTTAGGGTTTAGGGTTTAGGGCTTCGGGTGGTATACCAGAGCAGCCATAGCATGCTTTTGAACATGGACTACAAGGCGATGTTATTGTCAAACCCTGGACCCCAACCGCTGTGGAGGTGCTTGGGGTTTTGCATAAATCCTAAAAGTTGGGACGGTCTTCGGGCTGTAGGATCCTAAACTCCAGGTTCAGGTGCCCGAGCTTTCGAGCTTGAGGATTTTGTGGGCTTTTTGCTTGGAGGGGACGGGTTGGCATGTTGGAGTTATTCTGGGGTTCAGGGTTTTGCGGTTTAGGGTTTTCGAGTCTAGGGTGTCCTGTCCCTTGGCACCTTGTAGCTCGAAGTTGTCCTCGGCAAAGCATAGGGCAAGAAGATGTTGTTTAAGTTGTTGGGTTTAGGGTGTACTGTAGAGCCTTAATCATTTCAACAGGGTCGTTGGCAAAACTTACTATAACTACATCCACCCTTGAAGAATATCATTGGCAATTCTTGACCTTCCTGAGTGAGTCCCTCAGACTCCTCAAATTAAAATCACTCTGCGTCTGTGCGTGTGCGTGTGCGTAAGGATGTTAAGCAAGTACTGATGTACCCAAGCCAGCAAAGAAGCAGGCGAGCAATTAAATGTTGGGTCTTTCCAGCCTGTTGAAACAGGGCTAGACACATCCGCTTGGCCCCGCCGATGCTCCTGAATACAGATGATATGGTTTCTGTTGGTGGTGACGGTGACCATGACATTGATGGTCATGACGATGACGACAACTCTCATGATGCTGGTGATGGTGATACAGGATGGCGCGAGCATGACGACCATGATGGTGCTGCCAGCGATGCAGGGGATGGTGAGGATGATGGAAACAATCGGGGTGAAGATGAGCACAGGGATGAAGATCAAGCGGTCATGAAGGAGATGAAGATTATGTTATGAAGAAGGAGAGAACGGCTGCGGTTGTTGGTTGTTGTTAGTTGTTGTTGTGATAAGGACACTCACCAACCAAGTAACGACGACGGTGGCGAGGAGGAGGAGGTGGAGAAGGAGGCGATTATAACCGAGATGACTGTGAGGATGATGCGTACCTAGCGGGACACTCAGCCTCAACAGCAGGCTGAGGAGGACGAGGAGGGCAAGCAGTTGCCCATCAAGGCACCACTGCTTCTCCTCTGCACCAAACCCAAAATAAACGTCGGAAACCTGACTCTTATCGAGCTGGCTCAATCACCACAGCGTGCGGCAAGCTGAGATCCGAGACATTGGATTTGCAGGACTCCGCAAGAGTCGTGCGAAGCAGGCAGCAGCCCCAACCGTACCCAAATACAGCCCTCGAACTAGCAGCATCGAGCAGGTACAGCATCACAGCAACAGCAGCAGCAGCGGCCGCCGCCTTGCCATCGGCGACACTGTGTTAGCAGTAACCTGCTGTTAGGACTTCTACATACATTGCTAGCTCGACCCGTAAGTGATCAGAACCGACTAGAAACTACACAAGCAACAGAAAGCCCCATTTAAGTCCAGGCTTCGTAGGTTGCGCCAGAGAGGTTCACAACCAGATATCTGCCAGCATGGTCCCGGTTCAAGCGAGCGGCAAGCCTCGCAGCGGAACGTCACGGGGCTGTTTGTAGGGCTTTGGCCTTAGGGTTTGGGGCTTAGGGTCTATGTAATCGGTTCTGCCCGTCACGAAGCGAGACACTTTGCAACAAACCAGCCGGATTCCTGGCCTGGGTTTTAAAAACAAACATTAAACTTCGTAGCATGTTCCCAATGTGGGTAGTTGTCAAAACTAGGGTCCCTTTTTGGGTACCCTGAATAATAGGTGCTGTATTTTAATAAGGACCCAAAACGGGACCCTAATTCCCGAAAGCTTCGCGAAGGGTTCTTCCGTGTGGAACGCCGCAGTTGAGTACATAGATGACAGACATAGAATCAACTTACTTGACTCCATACTTTACTCTACACTTGCTACTTGACTCTACACTTGATACTTACTTACTTACTTGTGACTTACTCTGTGACTTACTCTGTGACTTACTCTGTGACTTACTCTTGACTTACTCTGTGACTTACTCTGTGACTTACTCTGTGACTTACTCTTGACTTACTCTGTGACTTACTCTGTGACTTACTCTCTGACTTACTTACTCTCTGACTTACTCTCTGACTTACTCTGTACCTCTCTACATACTCTCTACATCTCGTGACTTACTCTTGACTTACTCTCTCTGTGACTTACTCTCTGACTTACTCTCTGACTTACTCTCTGACTTACTCTCTGACTTACTCTCTACCTCTCTACATACTCTCTACATCTCGGTATCTAAATCTCTCTTCTAAAGCCAGGGGTGGCACCGTCGTCGTCCATCGGGAATGCAACCCTTCCCAAGGATTCGCCTCCTCGAGCGCCCAAACGCTAGGTAAAGTTACACATTTTAGGCGCGCGGCGCAACCCTTCCCAGGGATTCGCTGCCTCGGGCGTTCAAACGCTAGGTAAAGTGACACATTTTAGGCGCACCGCGCAACCCTTACCAGGGATTCGCTGCCTCGGGCGTTCAAACGCTAGGTAAAGTGACACATTTTAGGCGCACCGCGCAACCCTTCCCAGGGATTCGCTGCCTCGGGCGTTCAAACGCTAGGTAAAGTGACACATTTTAGGCGCACCGCGCAACCCTTCCCAGGGATTGGAACTCTCGGGCGTTCAAACGCGAGGTAAAGTTACACATTTTAGGGTTCCCGCGCAACCCTTCCCAGGGATTCGCTGCCTCGGGCGTTCAAACGCGAGGTAAAGTTACACTTCTTGCGGGCGCCGCGCAACCCTTCACAGGGATTCGCCTCCTCGGGCGTTCAAACGCGAGGTAAAGTTACACTTCTTGCGGGCGCCGCGCAACCCTTACAGGGTTTGGGTGCAGTTCAATTTTTTTTGCAACCCTTCACAGGGATTTGCATTTTGCAACCCTTCACAGGGATTGGCGTGGTCGGGTGTTCGAACGCGAGGTAAAGTTGCATTTTTTGATGTGCATTGAAATGAATTTTGCAACCCTTCACAGGGATTGGCGTGGTCGAGTGTTCGAACGCGAGGTAAAGTTGCAATTTTTTATGTGCATTGAGATGAATTTTGCAACCCTTCACAGGGATTGGCGTGGTCGAGTGTTCGAACGCGAGGCAAAGTTGCAATTTTTGATGTGCATTGAGATGAATTTTGCAACCCTTCACAGGGATTGGCGTGGTCGAGTGTTCGAACGCGAGGTAAAGTTGCAATTTTTGATGTGCATTGAGATGAATTTTGCAACCCTTCACACAGATTGGCGTTGTCGAGTGTTCGAACGCGAGGTAAAGTTATTACTTTTGATGTGCATTGAGGTGAAACTTGCAACCCTTCACAGAAATTGGCGTTGTCGAGTGTTCGAACTAGTACTAGTACTACTACTACCACTACCACTACTACAACTATTATTACTACTACTACTGCTACTACGACCACTACTACAAAAGAATACTACTACTACTACTACTACTACTGCTATTACTACTAGTACTACTACTACTACTACTACTACTACCACTACTACTACCACTACTACTGCTACTGCTACTACTGCTACTACTACTACTACTACTACTACTACTACTACTAGTACCACAACAACAACTACAACTACAACAACAACTACTACTACTACTACTACGACCACGACTGCGACTACGCGACGACGACTACTACTACAACTACTACGACTACCACTACTATCACTACTACTAGTACTGGTACTGCTAGTACTACTACTGCTACTGCTACTACTACTACTACTACTGCTGCGACATAAAGTGACCATGCATAGAGTCATAGAGTCACGTTGAAACCACAGTAATCAGGGATGTCTATATAGTGAGGTTCCGGAGCTAGGAAAGGAAGACTTCTGCGTCATGTTGGACTATACTCTAAACCCGCTAAACCTGAACATTAGTGTTCATAGAGTGAACTACATCAAGTCAAGTGCGTGGTACATAGATGACTCCATGACTCTATGACTCTTTCTCACTCTGACGCTATGACTCTATAACACTATGACTCTATGATTCTGTCTCACTGTGACTCTATGACTCTATATGACTCTATGACTCTTTGAACTATGACTTGTGCTTGACATGTACTCGACTCTATTTCTCGATGACTCTATGAACTATGACTTGTACGACTCTTGACTGTATGTGACACTCCGACTCTGTGACTCCGTGCTTTTGACTCGGTGACTCTATGACCCTATACACTGGATTCTATGACGTAGCGTAACACTCTTCGCTGATGATGCTTTCGGGCCAATTGTCTTCTAGTTTTGACAACCACCCCTTCTCCCGGCGGAGCTTCAGCACCTCCCAAGACAGCTCGGCTCGTGCTGCCAGGACTTTCATATAAGCTTGAGGTATACCTTCCCCAGCCAAGAGGATCGCCCCAAACTTTCCTTCCCCCAAGGCGGTACCGAAACAGAAAGTCTTGGAGATCGTTGCAAAAGAAACCACAAGCTAAAGCTGCACGAAGTTCTATGCACTCAAGAGCCCTGGCGCAGCTACCAGAAACCCCCCTAAACTTTACCCTAAACCTTAGGTACGGCCCCCTTACAGTAAGAGTCCATAATAGGGCTACTACTAAGGTCCTAATATATCTATATTATAAAAACTATTCAACTATTACTGAGTTGGGTACGGCCCCCAAATACCTGCTGAGGATCCACGCCAGTGCTGCCGCGCGCGTGATGGGAAATCGGCAGCGATCAGATTCGGCTGCACCTGGCCCGGGGGCGTGGGGTTCAGGGTTTAGGGTTTAAGGCTTAGGATTTCAGGTTTTTTTTGAAGGATTTAAGGTTTAGGTCTTAGGGTTTGGGGGCTGATAGAAGGGTCCGAAGAATTAACAATCATATTCACTGTGCAGCTCCTATATCAGTTTTCTACAGTATACCCCAAACACCCTGGTCTAATTCGTATGGCCCAACAAAACACTCTACAAAGGCCTATGAACAATATAAACCTCTGCAACAGCTGCTCCAATTCTTAAGGCTTCTATGCTCGGCTTGAGGAACCTTCTGGCGTTTCGGATGGATAGAATTCAGGGTTCGGCCTAGATCGTGAATAGTCCTTGCAGAACCCTTATAGAATTATAGAAACCTTTAAGATCTCCTTCAGAATCCTCAGAGCCCTCCGATCCGCCTACCAAAACGCTCCAACTACCCTCTATTTCAGCCTTGATACCCACTGCTAAGGATCAGAACGGCTCTATGCACGGATTCTTGGCGCGTGCTGGTAGGATTGCAACTTCGGGGCTTCTTTTTTACAACCCTAAAGTGCCCTAAACCCCCAAACCCTAAACACCCTAACGTCCTAAAGCCTTAAGGAACCTCTGGCTTATCACGCTCTCTTGGATCTAAGCCCAGGACAGCTGACGAGTCGAGCCCCCTGCAGCTGAGAAGTCCCCAAAAGCTGCTGCGGGAAGCTGAAAAATCAACGTTGGCAACCTAGGTGGATCGCGGAACGCTGAACGGAGCATCGCTGCTTCAAGCGCCACAGACAACCCACGGTTGGAAAGCTTACAGGCACATGTTCAGAACACAACGGGCCTTGATCAAAAAACCCAATGATGAGCCCAAAAAGGAGCCACTATGTTACGAAACCTTTTCTCGAAACTTCGGAAACTCTTCTGACTGGCTCAACGTCCCTGGACATGCGGCAAGGAGGCTTGAAAAACCTTAAGGTCCGAAAATACAATAAAACTTGAAAACGCTAAACCCTGAACCCTAAACCCTTTCCAAGCCCTAAACCCGAAACCGTTCGTCACCCTTTACAATCCTTAACCCTGAAGCCTTCGTCATCCTTTACAACCCTGAGCCCTAAACGCTTTGTCACCCCTTACAATCCTAAACCCTAAACCGCTGTCACCTTGTACAACCTAAACCCCCAATCATTTGTCACCCTTCAATCCTGAACCCTAAACCACTCAAAACCCTGAACCGTAAACCCTTTAAAAACCCTTCGGAACCCTTTCAGAGCCCTTCAAAGCAGGTTAAACTTGTGCCCAATAAAAACTCTTCAAGGCAGGTCAAAATCCTTGAAAACTCCCTAACCGTTTAGCACCCTGAAGAGCCCTTTGATTTAAAGCAAAAAAAAAACCCTTGAAAACCCTCCAAAACCCTTTAGAACCCTCAAGCTCCCGGCCTCTGGCAGATGGCAAGCATAGTCGTCGAAGGTCAGCTTGAACTCCTCGACCGTGCGAACCCTGAGACCCTAAAGCCCTACACAGCTCACAAGCCTAAAAGCCCTAAACCCTAAACCCTGTCTGAGTGTGGGCTTAGGGTTTGGGTGAAGGACCGGAATTTTGGAAGGATGTACTTAGAGGATCCTCCAAAGCCCAGAGCGAAGTATGGTGTGATCTCAGTTGTGGTTTTTTGTGTTGGGGTTGAGGGCTTTTTGGAGTTAGGGCTTTAGCTTGCAGGGGGTTCAAGGGTTTGGGGCTTGTGTGTTCAGGGTTTTGGAAGTTTGCTTGGGTTTGGGGCTTCTTCTTTCACCGGAACTGCATCGAATTCCGCACTCGCAGTGCCAGCTCTTGAACTCGAAACCATGGGAAATCCTCGAACCTCACCGGTCCTTTTGCATCTCCGCGGCGGCTTCGCGCGCGGCGGCTCTCACCATGTGGGCGTGCCGCGCGGCTCCATGCATAGGAGCAGACGGCTTCAAAAGGCTCAAGACTTTGGCAAGCAGGAGGATAAGTAGCATGGTGTGCGTGTCGGGGGAGGGGGGGGTATTTGGATATTTGCATATGCACAGACACACACATGCAATGGCACGTGGCATTAACAGAACAGCATATCTACTACTGTTATACAACATGATATGATACAAGCGTAGTCATTTCTTGGTAGGGCCGCCCATGGGCAATGCAAGGCTGTTGAAAGGGATCTTGTTTCTGCTGCAGAGTCTGGCTCCCTACCCACGTAAAGGGCCGAATCCGGATGGGGTTGTAACTTGAGGGTTAACATAGACTGAAGGCAAACAAGAAAAGGTATGTCCGAAAGAGTACGTGGGGCTTGCCGGTTCTTCATTCTGACCGCCTTGTAGACGACATGTCATCCCCATGTCAACAGCTGAGGCATTGCATGAATTTGGCATGCGTGCGAAAAAAAACAAGACAAGGGTTCGTAGGGGGGAACTATACAAACTTGTATGGGCAGCCCTGTCACCTGTACGAAGGATTCTTGGTATGACGAGCCGTAGAAGACAGAGGGGTTTCACAGTTTCGCGATTTTGCGCTAAGACATCTTCAAATCCCATCAACTGCACACTAAACCTCGAAGATTCCAAAGCACGAAGACTGTGCAAGCCCCTGATCCCCCTCTTAACTCCGAAACCTCCTCCAGAAACCCTGAATGTAAATCCTACTTTCGAATCGCGTGCGGTCTCCCCGGGTTTGAGATTGCATAGGCCTCTATGGTTTCAGGGTCAGAGGTCCAAGAGTGCAAGCGGCCTGAAGTTCAGGGTATTGGGCATATGGTATCCCTTTACAACAGCTTAGAAGGGGGAGCCTGATGGCTGGGGGGTATATCATAGTATAGATGGCGTAAGGAAGCCCTAAAAATGGACTAGCTGTGGTTTAGGCTCCCAAGTTCAGCCCCCCTGACCCTTAGAAACGCGGGGCTTCGTGATTGGAGGCAAATCTCTGAGTCGAGGAGCTGCTGGTTGCCGCCGCACGTGGGTCCCAGAGTCTCACCTGGCATCGGAAAGTTGCAAGGTCTGACGTCTGATTACTAAAAATACTATACCCTGTCAGTCCTAAAAACATAATTATGCTTAGTAATACCCAGTTCAAACCCTTCTAAGATCGGATCTGATGCGTTGCACTCTTGGCCGCAAGATGTCAAGTCAAGTGCTCTAAGTTCTCCGTCTCTCGGAAAGCTTCTTCAGCCCACGCTTCGGCATGAGAATGAATACCCTGTAGCGAGGAACCCTTCCAGTCACATGCCCTAAGCTCTTCAACTCGAAACTTCGCACCCTCCTCTGAAATCCGACTTTGGGGTTCAAGCTTTAGGGCTTAGGGCTTGGGGCTTCCGCCGCTTGGGGCTTAGGGAAAGCCCCCCCCCCACCCCCCCCCCCCCCCCCGGACCAACTTCCCCCCGGTCGAGTCAAGGTCTGAAGCACTGAGGATCCCAAGTCAACTGATTGCTAGGACCGATACCAAACGCAAGTATTCTTCATGGTCCTGGGCTTGCTTTTTGTTACATAATCATATAGACCCCTAGAAACACGATCTCTCAGGAGATGCCCCTCATGTTCGACATCGCCTCACCGAGGCAGGAAGGGACGATGTAGGGTTTAGGCTTCTTGGTTTTTACGCTTGGTGTTCATCAGGGGTTTAGGGGTTTAGGGTTAGGGGTTTAAGGGGTTTAGGGTTAGGGTTTAGGGGTTTAGGGTTAAGGGGTTTAGGGGTTTTAGGGGCTTTGGTTTAGGGTGTTGAGGACAGAAGCGTCCGCTCGAAGCCAAACAACCCAACATCTAAGGTTTCCTCCAATGGTATGAACCCCGGAGTCGATGTAAAAACGAAACCCTGAAATCGCTGAAGCCTCAAACCTTACTCATCTCTAAGCCCTACAACCTTTATGGAATCCTCGAAACCAGAAAGTCCAGCATCAACCCCCAAAACCCGCCCTAAATCCCTAACCCCAAACCGCAAAACCCCCAAACCCAAAACCGCCGGCAGGGCCAAGCGATCCACCCCCACACTCACAAGGAGCCCCTTCTCTTCGAGCAGGGCCACAGAAAGGACCTTCGGAGGACCGTGAGTTGAAGACAAACGGGGATGGGTGCATGGCTTGGGGTTTAGGGTTTAGGGTTTAGGGATTTAGGGTTTAGGGTTTAGGGGTTTAGGGGTTTAGGGTTTGGTGTTTAGGATGACAGTTAAATACGAATGCCCCCAACTATCCCTATCGACCAGTACCTCAGCTGTAGAAACCAACAAAATAGAACTGACGTCCTATCTTATTAACTTCGCTTTCAAGTCTTGTGCTCCTTAAACAAGTTGGGAAAAGATTCCCGAGAATGACCCCGTCATGAATACCTATTCCCTACAAGCCTCCCCATTTCGTCGGAAGTGTAGGCTGCAAGAGGGGCTTGCAGCTTGGAGAGACTCGGGATTTAGAGCGCTAAATTCTCTGGTTTTGGGTTAGGGAGCTTAATGCTTAGGGTTTAGGGATTAGGCTTTTGAGGATTAGGGAGCTTAAGGCTGAGGAACCGTAAGACTGTCTGTCTCCAGGGCCAGGCTTTAGGCTTCAGGGTGTGGCTACATGTGATCTTCGAGGTGAGACCCACAAAACCTTTCAGGGTCTAGGGTTGAGGAGGACTTCAAGTGAAGGTTCGCTGTAGGCCCTGCAGAAATTAGGGTGTAAGCGTTAGGGGTTAGGGGGACTCCGAAAGCCCTCTCACAGCCTTCTCGAAGTGGCCGCCACAATCGAACTTGTTGCGACCGCCCGGAAAAACATCCTGCCGAAATCTTTCCGGTTTCAGTGTGTTCGCCAGAATCCACAAGTTCCCAAAACCCGAATGACACATCCCACATCCGTCTGGTACGCCTCCCGCCCGAAACTCATGAGCCCCGACCCTGAAAATCAAGCACGGGAGTGATAGCTCAACAAGATATAAAATCATATGCCCAAAGGTCGGTGCCGCTCCTTCTTGCCGGTTTCGACATCCCAGCGCAGCACTGCGCAGTCCTTGCCGCCGGTGTACATCGTGCCTGGCACTCCGAATGGAGAACCCAGAGCCGAGCTTGGAACGAGGGCTTAGCTTCAGGGATTTCGGGATGAGGGGATCCTTCGGGTTTGGGCCTTGGGGTTTAGGGTCTCGAAAGCAAAAAAAGGAGCTTGGTCAGGGTTTTTTGGGTATGCTATCGTATAGCACAAAATAGGAGGAGTTGGGGGTGTCGATTTTCCCGTGTACTGAAGACAGGGATTGAAGTGAGACCCATTTTGGAGACTCATCCCCCCTATCAGAACCCTTTTTGTACCCGAAGGCAAAATCCTCTTGCCTTCGTCTGCAGTCAGACAGACGCTGGTCACAGCCATCTTATGCCTGGTTTCAGGATGAAGGTACAGGGTTTAGGGTTTCGGATTTAGGATTCAAGGGTTTGGGATTCAAGAATTTTGAGCTTTCAGTTTAATGCGTGGCGGCTCCAATTCTTTCGGCTTTCTGCGGTGGGGATGGTTTTGCAGCTTGGGGTTTGGAGATGAGGGTATAGGGATACGGACGACGGGTTTAAGGATTAGGGTTTACATACCGGCGTTTGGGAGGGGGCTGTTTCGACTAGATCACGGCCGGAGCTTCGGGCTGAAACGTACAATCTTGTCGTCTCCATATGCGACGATCATTGCTCTGAATTTGTCAGTGCCCCCTTCAGAGTACCTACTTCAGTAGTAGTATCACCCACTGGAGACAAGCCCAGCTCCTGAAACAACCCCAAGTTGCAAGTGTGAGCTGCACGCTTCTCAGGTAGCAACAGCCCCGCTTCCTCCTCCTCCTCCTCCTCCAAACCGAGCCCATTCAAACATAAAGCCTAAACCCCGATCTCAAACCTGAGTTACAGGCTCTGAGCTCTTTGAACTGTAAGCCCTTAACCCTCAGCCCTAGGCCCTGACCTTTCATCCTCAACTTCAAGCTGAAACTCAGCATGTGCTTGGCATCTTGGTTCAGGGGCCGGGGGGGCGGCATATCTGTAGATTTCTAGTCTGATGAAAGGCTGGTTAGGAGGGGCGGGGAACGGAGCCGCGAAGACAATAACCCTCACGGGGGTTCATGGGCAATTATCAGTAGGGGTATAACTAGGGTAACTATACTTATAACACTAAGGAGGGGACTTATAGCCCCACTTATAACTACCCCTGAACCTCCAAGTAGGCCCCAACCAGAACGCCTAAATCCTGGCACTTCAACTCAAACTCCCAACCGTCAACCCTCGACCCCCCGGCGCACCCTCGCAGAAACCGAGGCTCGCCAAGAGCCAGATCTGATACCTGCTAGCTGCTATATAGGGTTTAGGGTTTAGGGTTTAGGGTTTAGGGCCTTGATAAATAGAATAGGGTCTTGAGGTGCGTTCGATTTACAGGGGCCTTAGTAAATTGAACAGGGTGTTGCGGCAAGCATGACTATACAAAGACCATGAAAAAGATACTGTCAATGTCTGTTCAACCCTCTATATCACTTACACTGACTTACACTCTCTCACACAGCCTTGCAGGGTTTCGGGAACATCAAGAGAAGAAGCGCAGCATGAGAGATCAGAGTTTCTGATAAATCTGGAATAGTCTCGATTACCTGTACAAGGGTGGATAAGGAGGAGTAGTGCTGTTGCTAGATGCGAGAAATCTGCACCGGTCTGAACCGACAGACCCTTGAAACGCCTGAGCTCATTCTGGAGGGCCAAAGTCCGCCAAACCCGCGCTCTGCATTCTTTTGACTGGCGCGCATCTCCCCCTGAAGCCTATATGGGACTTTCCGAAAATAGGGGACCAAAATATAGTACCCTGAATAGTAGGATCCTTATTATAAGGACACCAAAATAAGGTACCCCTATTTTCGGAAACTCCCATATCCGAAAACGTATATCCGACGCCCGAGATGTCAGCGTTGGAGTTGAGGGGCGACGGCGGGTTCCGACTGCTGCGGATGCATGCTGTGATCTTAGCAGATGCAAGGTGGTTGCCCTTCACCACATTATGCAAGCTCCCGAACCTGTTCGCGCAGATAAGCAGGTTTGGGTTGCCTGACATTGGGTTTATTAAGAGTTTTAAGTCCCGGATTGTGGTAGGAATGCGCCTTGCACACTAAACCCACGGCAAGAAATACCTTATGCCCTAAACGAGACATGCTTCAACCCTAGTCCGCCTGGCGGCGTGAGGTGTCCTTCGCGAGCTCCTCCTGCTTAAAGGGATTACGGCTCAGGGATTTGGGTTCATGGTTTCGGGTGCTTGGAAAGGGAAAGGGCTAAGAGTGAGAGGTCTAGATAACCCTAAACCCTAAACCCTAAATGAATCGAGAATAGTCTAAACGGCAGGATGGAGCTTCAAGTTACCCTTTGTCGACTGAACCACAAGTTCTGTAGGATCCCGGCCGGACCCACAAAGCCACTGCATGTAATCAAAGCCGAACTTGCCAAGGTTTACCAACACACATGAGTACAAATCCGAATGCCCAAGATCCTGTGGCTAGATCTTGAGCCTTCAGCGAAGCCGAGGAAGCCGATGTCAACCCCAAAACTTCGAACCTGTCGAAACTGAAGTCTGAGCTGCATGCCAAGCCGAAAGAAAAGCTTGAACCCCAAGCCCTCAAGCCATGATCCCTCACAACGAGTTCTTCTACTTAGCTCTATGGGTTGTCGGGTGCAGGATTTTCAGGGGAGCTCGGACCAGCTACGATGCCCGCCGAAAGCGGGGCTCTTTGTGTGCTTCTAACACTGCTTAAGCTGTATGTGTGTTGTGTGGTGTAGGGTTGAGGGTGTAGGTATAGCATGGAAGCGCTTGCGCGCAACTACAGCACGACAAAAAAAACGTAGGCCTGCAGCAGGGTGCTACATAACAAGCAGATTCACCAACACTGTTTCGGGCAGCAACGATTGAGGCTCATCTGAACCAAAAATCCTACAAATTTGCCTACGAACCTCGGCTCTTCGACGCGAAACCCGAAACCCTAAGCGTCGCCTGAAAATACTGCGAATTCCGAGCCCGGCTCCTGAACCTCTTCTCGGGTCTTCCCCTCCCCAATGGTCTTGAGATACTCCTCCGGGCAAGGGGTTTAGGGTTTTGGATTTTCTTGAGGCTTTAGGGGTTGTTGCTTTCTGCGGTCGGTTTTGGGTTGTCCTGGCTAGGCAGTTTCCGGTCCGGATGCGGGCTTCAAGATTTACTGTTTGAAGTCTACGGCTTTTGGTCCAGGGCGTAGGACATATGTTGTTCTGATCTCATCTCAGTCATGACATTACAGCGTGAGCCTTTACCCAAAGGCAGGTTTTTTCGGGTTTGGAGGCCGTGTGTGTTCAAAAAGTGTCACGACTTCCAAGTTCTGGAAAAACGAAGTAATGCTTGGGCTCAAGCCCCCAGGCCAGCAGGTTTTGGGTTTAGGTCTTAGAGTTTATGGCTTAGGCTTTAAGTTAAGCGTGATACCTCGTGCACCTACACTTGAGGCCTGGGTCTATGACTGCCATGGGGACTAGCCAGGAAGTATTCTGCAATAAGTCAGGCAGGCTCTTCAGCTCTACCTGAACCAACTACACTAGAACCCCGACTGTGCTCCAATCAGTGTCCCTATGACGTCGATACGATACACAAATCATAAAAACAAGCCTCCGCAAGATTTCAGAACCCTAAAGGTTCAACCTCAAGTCACAAAACCGTAGACCGAAAACCCCATTCAGCTGCAAAAACTCCCGGTTGCGTGGTGTCCTTTGCCAGGCGTACCCGCTTCTCGTCGGGAGTCTCGAAGAACTCATCCTCCTCCTGGCTTGCAGAGTCTGTTGAGGGCTTGGGGTCTGGGGTTGCTTGTGGGAGTTTCAGGGCCACCAACCTAGAAACCAAACGATGTAATCCTCGCCGTAAGGCTTCATCCCAATGGTAGGGCATGCCTTTGTTCAGTAACCCCCTTCTCTTGCACGCAACTTGGCTCAAGATCTACAGTTGATGATATAAATCCTGCATCATTACCCATAATAAGGAATATACCATAATTTCCATACTTTCGGGTCCTTAAGGTAATGCAGGATTTATATCATCAACCGTATTAACCCGCTACCCAGGCTCGCCCGGTAGCCTTCATCTGGAAACACTTTCGGGCTGTAGACTTGGGCTCCATCTTGTAATATACGGGCCTGACTAATCAAAATAGGGTCTTTCATGGTATGTTACAAAAACCTTTTTGTCAGGGGATATTATGTTCCCCCTTTTTAACAGGGCCTAAGGCTTCAAGAACGCAACTCGTCATAAGCTGTGAGGTTTGAGTCTATGGGACTTAACGGTTTCAAGAGCCTACGGCCTGCTATGGCTTAAGCCCTGAGGCCTTGGGGTAGCAATTTGAGGTGACAAACTGTTTACAAAAATTGACCGAGCCATTACGAAAAGAATCACTCAAACAAAACCGGCTTTGGAGCGCTAGGGACACTTGGGCGAGCCGCTCAACCCATAGTGTGACTCTTTGGCGGTCATGATGGTACGGCTGGAGTGAATGTCTAAAGGTAGGATTTCAGGTTTATGATTTTGAGAGCTGCGCAGAAATCAAATCTCAGGGTGCAGGTGAGCCAGGTTTGCTGCGTTCGTACCGGGGGGGGGGGGTGTAATTTGCAAGGATATCGATCTGTCTTCTGCACCATCTACATACACATATACATAAACTTCTATACATATTGCATAAATATATATGTGGATATTTGTATATGCCTATGTATACATATATATATATATATATATACATACATGAGTGTATATATATATATATATACATATGTATATATATATATATACACATGTATTATTCATTCATTTGATTCATTAATTTATACATTTAAACACATATGTGTATGTGTACACAGTATACACATACCCAATCATGGAACACTAAGCTCCAAACCTTCGACCTACCCCCCCCCCCCCCCGGCCTCGTCTCCGGCAGCGCGTGCACCCTGGCGGCCCACACAAGGTCAAAGCAGCTTGGCCGCACAGCGAACAGGTTTAGGATCTAAAGCTGGCTCAATGCTCACGAGAGTTCCGGCTGCATGTATGCTGGCAGCTGCTGCTTGTTTTCCAACATGCCGCACAGGCACGATGCAAGAGTCCTTTCAAGTTCTGGCTTGTCAGGAAAGGCAAGGGAGAATGCAAGAAGTGAGCGCATGATTACCAAGCGAGATCCAGTCCCTCACGCCTTCCTGGGCGCCGAAGTTTTGTAAGCATCAGTGATCATCAGTGTTCAGGGCGCCACGCGCCCCTTGATCTGGTGCGAATGCTGGACACTAAACCTGAAACTGCGGCCCACAGGCCTATCTTTCTTTGGCACAGCCCCCAACACAGGAGCTGCATTAAACAACTGAACTTAATTTGTCATAACGCCGAGCTCCTCTCCGCTTCCGCAGCTTCCCAGTATACCATCGTAGCAACAATAGCGAGATTCTGTAAGCAGTAGAAATTGCGGTTGCTGAACATCAGCGGCAAGGGAAGTTGGGCAGCGTGGCAGGCCCACAGAAGAGGTAGCGCGACGGATGCAAGCAGCTCACTTGGGCGCATGAGGAAGATCAGAGTAGCTCCCAACCATCGACCAAGTTCGCGGGCGAGAACCTGAGAAACAAGATCAGTTTACATTGAGGATTTTTCGCCCTCAAGAGTCTTAGGTAGCGTGCTTTCCTTATGGGGTTTATCAAGCCTCGAGCAAGTATTGATACCGACTCCGAACTGGGCCAGCAAGTCTACACTCAGTCACTCGGAACGCCCGATGGCTGGAGACCAGAGCATCCTACAACTCTACATCCTTCAACTTCAAAACGGCAAGTCTACTAACCTAGATCTGCGGCTTGGGTGGTTTGGGGCTGCGGGCGAAGGATGATGCTTTCGAAGTTAATGGAGTTGCGGTTGATGTGTATTTGGGGGTGAAGGCGCGAAATGCCTGTTTCCGATGGCTTTCATGATCGGTGTGTCTTTGGGGCGGGTCCTGAAGCAAGCGCGCTGAACATTTGGGAGTTTCCGAAAACAAGGGGCTCCTTATTTTGGGGTCCTTATAATCGGGATCCTACTATTTAGGGTACTATATTATTGTCCCCTATTTTCGGAAACTCCCATTTCGGGTCCAGAGCATCTTGGACCGGCAACAAGCGTGGACAAAGTCCTGGATGTTACAGCCCGTTCAGGGTTTAGGGTTTAGGGGTTTAGGGTTTAGGGGTTTAGGGTTTAGGGGTTCAGGGTTTATGGTTTAGGCTTTAGGGTTTAGGGGTTTAGGGTTTAGGGTTTAGGGGTTTAGGGGTTGAGGGTCCTGGATGTTACAGCCCGGATGCAAGATGGTGCGTCTCCGCCGGAGCTCCGCCGGTGCAAGCTCCTCAATCCGAGATTGACTTGACGGTCTACTTGGCGGTTCAGGGGTAGTTATAAGGGTCCCTTTAACGGGATCTATGTAGGGATTCTATAAGGGTATAGGGTTTAGGGTCTACTTCAGGGGTAGTTATAAGTGGGGCTATAAGTCCCCCTAACTAGAGTTATAAGTATAGTTGCCCTAGACATAACCCTACTTATAACTACCCATGAACCTCCAAGTAAGGTTTCTATAGTGTTTTTCGCGGATGTCTGGTTCCGATGGTACCACAAAAGATATTTGACAGCGATGATAATCTGCATAACCGGACAAGTCGGACGAATAAAAGACGAAACTTCTCCTAAACGCTACAAACCTCACCATTTCCAACACTATGCTTCGAACACACACACACAGCGCAAACTGTATCCAAAAAATGAGAGCTCCATATCGAGGGGACTTGCTCGAAGTGCCACAGTAACCACAGTACTCCGCGCTAAAGATCGAACATCAGGTTGTAGGGCGTGTCCGCTTGGAGACGAGGGCAAATCTGGGAAGCATGTCTAGGTCGCAGTAATTTCATGGGAACCCCACAGAAAAACGCCACACGATCCTGGTTCCTTCGTCGCTCTTCAAAAGGCTTCAACGAAGAGCACAAACTGTAAACCAACCTGACAACCACCAATACAAAGGTTGCTTTTCGTCCCCGTTTACAACGTCAAAGAAGCTCAGAGTATACCAGCAGCACTTACGATTAAACGAGGGGCCCCAACGAAAGTAGATCCGTAACCCTAAACCCTAAACCCTAAACCCTAAACCCCGGGCCCCAACGCCTCAATCAGAGCCCGGCACCTGAAGCGTTTTGACCGCATCCTCCAGCTCCTTCTCATCCGTCAAGGAAAGCGCCTCGCCCCATTATTACATGCTTTAGGGCTTAGGGTTTGGGAGTGTCGATCGTAGGCCGAGCATAACGGTGGCAAGAGCTTGTCAGTCGCAGGGGACGGCTTACGGAAGGCAACGTTGAAGTCATCGAAACCATCAAAAGACATAGCGTCCAAAGCAGAAGCGACAACACAACTGCTCGCCAATAACACAAGAAAACAAAAACCATAGTAGTGTGCCATGTATAGGAGCGAATGATCCCGTCTACGGACAAATCTTCGAGCTCATAACAACAAATAAGCAAATCGGCGGGAGGTTTTCAGACGAGGACAGCCCGCAGTGGTTGAAACGTTCAAAACTCTGCATTTCACAAATTGTTGTGATAGAGGATCAGCAACTGAAGCGATATTGGAGGTGGTGCGAATCACCATTATCAGTGCGGCGCTTGGCCAAGGAGGCCTACCCTCTGCTCATCGATCAGCGGTTGCGGTTTGGGGCTTTCCGGCTTCTGTAGGGGCAGTGTAGAATTAGACTAGGGTTTGGGGGAGTGTTTAGGGTATGGTTGCATGGAGCTGTAATAGTGACTATAATAGGAATATGATAGGGCCCTAATATAATCCTTCTAGTCACTATTACAGGGTGGGGGCCCCTCTAAGGAGCCATGTACTGTTTCTTTTTGCTACTGCTATCTTCGGCTCCAGCCTTCGGGGCTTCTTTCGCACTCAGCCTTTCGGATGGAGCCTCTTAAAGCCCGACGCGACAGGGTGAACCCTCAAAAACCAAAAAAATAAAAAACGTATAGATTCAGGCCCCTACAGTACGGGCTACGGGCTTAGTAATGAGGAGCTAAGCACGCGCTACTCGAAACCTACACTCCACAAGCCCTGGCACCCACCATATGGGTGGTTGTCAAAATTATGGTCCCTTTTGGGGTCCCTATTATTATTTCGGGTACCCAAAAAGGGACCTTCATTTTGACGATTACCCATGTATTCCTAAAACCCTAACCGATGAACCAGTAGCCTCAAACGAACTAACAACCAACAGAGGCTGAATGCCATGCCTCGGCCAGGGATTGATGAGGGACCATCTGCTCCTCGAGAACCCACGGCTACGGGGTCTTGGTGCTACTATAATATGTTGTTGCAAATTACAGTATGTTGTTGTATACTATAATAGTACATTATGAATTCCGCGTGGCGGTTTAGTGGAAACTGAGGGTTTTCGCTGTCTCACGTCTACACCCTACATCCCAAACTCTGTGGCCGTTTTAAGTTCGACTCTAAATCAGCAACCCAAAGCTCCGCGCCAAGGTCGAACCCTAGAATCTAGATCCGTTGCGCAAAACGTAGGCCAAGTAGTAACCCAGCAGCCCCTGCTTTCATCCCCCCCCCCCCCCAAGAAATCGCCCGGCCACCTGCCGTCGCATCAACTCCTCGTCGATTTCCCGGATCCTTTGGTGAAGCTTCAGGCTGTGAACTTAGGGTTTTAAGGTTCAGGATGTAGTGTTTAGGGTTTAGATCTTTCGAGCCTTTGAAGCTTAGAGTGTTAGGGTTTTCAAGTTTATTTGGAAGTTTCCGAAAATTTTTTGGTGTATCTTTTTTGGGGGTCCTTATAATACGGATCCTACTACTTACGGTACGATACTGGGGTCCCCCGTTTTCGCAAACTCCCGTTTAGGGCTTGGGGTTTCGGGCCTCGCTCTTGTTGCTCTGTTCTTCGGCTCAGTGATGGCCCACATGTCCAGCGGCCCCCGAAGCCCTCACTCCTCTGCCAACATTGACTTCTTACGGGCTCCAGGAAACCAGGAAATCCGCCATGACTATGGGCTTTCTATACTGAGCGAAGGGTGAATGAGACTATACAGACAATACATGGCTCATATTCTCATCAGCCCTTGTCCAAGGATCAGGGCTGGCAACAGCAACCGGGGCCCAGGCTCTTGAGATTTAAGGTTAAGGCCTAACGGTCTTGATCTGATGTTTCCAGAATTTTCTAGACACATCTGAGACCTCCAAGCTCGCAAACCCGCGCAAAAGCCCTAACCGTATACCCCATACCCTAAACCATAAACCCCTGAACCCTTAAACCCCTACACCTCTAACCCCTAAATCCTAAACCCTAAACCCCCGAACCCTTAGGCCTGAAGCCCCAAAGCCCTAAACCTGCCCAGTGCAACTCGGCATCTGCTGGGCGGCCAGGGTCTTATACTTCTTCTTGTCTGCCTCAACCTGGGATGGATCAGGGTTCTACACAAGTCCCTAAACCCTAAACCCTAAAAGTTCTAGAGCGGTTTGGGGTCTTGCGTCTTTGGAGCTTGGGCATAACTCAGATCGGGATATCTGGAAAAACAAGTCAGCGACATTAAAAAGCAACGTCGATATGGGAGTTTCCTAAAATTAGGGGGACCTTACCCTATTGTCGGAAACTCCCATATAGCCGTGCACGTCGACACTCTGACGGATCTCCCTCCAGACCGGGTTCCAGAGGCAAAGAGGTTCGGGCACAGGGATCGAGAAACTGGAATGACCCTAAACTTACCTTGGGTTAGTAGGGAGTGGAGGAATGGGGTACAATTATCATTACAACTACTAGTACTACCATTCTTCCATTCCCTACTAACCAAAAGTAAGTAAAGCCCCAAACCCTTATTCCCCGAATCCAAGCCCTGAAGCCAAATCCCTAAAATGCTTCTAGGAAGATCCGCAAAGGAAGGCTTCCTGCTTAAATCCCGGGTTGGAACCATGGGCCCCAAGGATTAACCCTAATATACCTTAAATGCACCTTAAGAGCCCTCAAAATGTAGCTTAAGAGTCCTCTAAGGTTACCTTGAAAGGCCCAAGGGCCCATATTAGGGGACCATACGTCTAGCCTTACGTAGATTAGATGACCCTGAGCCCAGGGGCCTGGACATCCGAACGCAAACAATCTTGAACACTCCGCAAGAACTTCCCTGCCGTCCCGAGCCTCCTAATCCCCGTCGTCCAACTCCAACAAAAACGCAAGTCGCCCCATCATGCGAGAGGACCTTTGTGTTGTGGGTTCTCTTGACGTGGCCAAGTGGCTGTCTTCTTCGCCTTTTCCATGAATTTGTCGACCTTTCTCTCAATATTTCCGCCTCCGTTCACCACCTGCGGTGACGAGCAGCTGAAGCTGAGTTGATAAATGGACGTCTACGGCTTGCTGGCTGTTGCTGATTAGAGTACGGGTTGGTGAATGCAAAATAGGGTCGGGTCGTAAGCCAGTAGGAAGCTCTTACCACCCCACCTGAAGAAGCTGTTCCTGAAGGGTGAGAGCTAGCTGCCAGTTCTGCGTCTTCGGCGTGCGCTTCGAAGTCCCGTTCACGGCACCACTGAAGCCAACGTTGAGGTCGGGATCCGCTTTCAACATGGTGAGGACCTCGTCCTCAATCCTCAGTTGGATGTTGCAGTTGTCTGATTCGGCACTCACGATGTCCGAGTTGAAATTAGCCCAAGCAAGAAACTGTCCTACTCATGCTGCCAAAAAGCAGAGTGTGCCTGCAACCTCCCAGGCTCATGCGCGCCTTGGCTCTATTCCGAAGCACCGTGAGAGCAGCGCGCCACCTCAACGCCTGCTGCAGCGACTTGGTGCTGCTCGCGATCACGTCGAGGCCAGACCAGGTGACTTTCACCACACAGCAACCCTGTTTCACAGAGATGCAACGGTCCACGGAGCGCTTGACCACTTCAGCATCGCTTGACGAAACCACCTTCTGTTCCGCACGGAGCAGGGACCGCAACTCGACAAGGACAGCTGTGGGCAGTTCGGATGGTCGGACGCAGTCGCCGTTCACCTGCAAAGCAAACACAGGAGCACACAGACCCAAAAAACAATATAATCATATAATAATATACCAATATAATAATATAACAATATAATAATGATATAATAATAATACACGTCGTATTTTCGAACAGTTCGCAGTTGCCGGAGAGCACGGGTAAGGGAACACTCATGCAGACTATATTAGCCATATGGATTACAGCGCGCCGGCCAGTGTGCAAAGACTTCTTACATAATGATGGCAAAATACCGGGCACACAATTTGGTCAAGGGTCTTGTCCATTCCAACATCAGCAGCAACACGATGTAAACTATATCCATGGGCTCACATGAACCGTTTCAGCGGCGCTGCCTGCATGCCGTGGAGCAGTGCACGCGCCTCGCCCCGTGGTTGGCATGGCATTGGTGCATCCTCCTTGAAACGACCAGAACCTGTGCTTCGGAGATGATGCTAATGCACTCATGATGCAGACAGTGATGCTGACGATGGAGACGTCGGTGCCGTAGTAACGACGGCCGTCGTGGTATGATGGTGATTGAAGTGATGACGATGAGGGAGATGACGGTGATCATAGGACAGTGGGGATGACCTCGCTTAAAAAACACCATGGCAGTGATGAGGATCGTGGTGATGATCGTGTTGGTGATGAAACTCTAAACCCCAGCCTCTGAAGATGTTTCCTGCATGATCTTGGCTCAAAACGGTCTGCCGACATGCGGCAGACCGCTGCCGAAGACACAGGACCTAGACGATTTACGTGTTGTTGCAGAATCAGTCTATGATTTCTTCCACGAGTCTTGGCTGTGATGTTTCCATCTTCTTTGTTGCGATGAATGCTGTTGTCGTCATTGCTGCTGAGACTACTGCTGCAACTACTACTGCGACTACTACTGCGATCACTACTGCGACGACAACAACAACAACAACAACAACAACTACAACTACAACTACAACTACAACTACTACTACTACTACCACTACTAATGCTACTACTACTACTACGACGACGACTACGACTACGACTGCGACTGCGACTGCGACTGCGACTGCGACTGCGTCTGCGACTGCGACTGCGACTGCGACGACGACGACGACGACGACGACTACTACTACTACTACCACTACTACTACTACTACTACTACTACTACTACTACTACTACTACTACTACTACTACTACTACTACTACTACTACTACTACTACTACCCCTACTACTAATGCTACTACTACTACTACTACTACGACGACGACTACGACTACGACTGCGACTGCGACTGCGACTGCGACTGCGACTGCGACGACGACGACGACGACGACGACTACTACTACTACTATTACTACTACTCCCACCACTGCTATCACTGCCATTGCCACTGCCGCAGCCACTGCCACAGCCACTGCCACTACCACTAATACTACCGCCACCACCACCACCGCCACCACCACCACGACCAGCACCTACAGTGGTGCATTACGACTATGTGGCTGCTAATTCGTCAATCCTCTAGGCGCACTGCTCACTGCTGACTTCACTCTATTGACTACTGGTAGAAATGCAGGCCGTATCAGCGGATACTCCAGTCGGCCGCAACGACAGGGCCGCCTAAACCGCAAAAGTGGCGGGCCAAATATTAATAGTAATAATAATAACAATAATAATAATACTAGTAGTAATAATAACAAATGTAATAATAATAATACTTATTATTATTATTACAAACGCAATGACGGGTGGTGGCGGGACAACACTGACAGCAACAACAATGACGCTGCGACAGCCACTCAGCAAACACATCAGTCGTCAAGATGCGCATGGTTCATATGTCATACAGAAGAAGTGAGGACCGCGCACACGAGTTTGACGGCAAGCCGTAGAAACATCATGACAATAACAACCGCAACCAAAAAGACGATCGCAAAACCAACAGCATCTACGTTCATGGGACTGCCCTCTGAAACCAGTCCCACTTCTTGCGGCAAGTCACAAGTTGCAAAACCTATAGCAGACTCTCCGACAACAACCAGATGACAGCAAAACTCACTAACTGTCAGACCGACCAAGACTGCCTTGAGCCCGCTGCCAACTGCGGACTGCCGGGAGCATGCTCAACATCTTCACGAAAAACCCAAGTATCTGGTAACAAGAGCCGTCAGTATTCCCATATCAACAGAAAACAACCCTCATAATCAGCGCTCATGCGCGGGCAGAACCAAACAAAAGAGATTCAAATAGTTTCGTCAGAGGGGTGACATGAGACTGTCATGGTTAAATCTGCTCCAAATGCTGAGCGGCTGCTGAAGCCCACCGCCTCATCGTACTTCCGTCGTTGGTCGGGATCGGACAGAATTTCGAACGCCTCACACACGGCGAACCTACACCCTGCACTCTAATCCCTGAACCGCGTGCATCCGAAAACCTAAGATCCTAAACCGAAGCAGTTACGGCGCCGCGAAACCTAATGATCTGGCCAATCGTCCACTTCCTTTTGGCCTTGTCTTCCTTTACACTTACACAACGCATCATCTTGCTGGAAAACAAAGGTCGAGGGATTTAAGGTTCAGGGTTTAGGGTTTAGGTTGTGCACAAGTGCCCCTGGCCGTGTTGCCCAGTACTCGTGACTTCACCATGACTTATGGCTGCTGTCGTTGATACACAAATACGCCCTCTTCATCTCTGACAACCCAACACCTGGATCATACAAGACCGAGCTAAAGTCCTGCAGAAACCTTAAGTGCAACACCCGCCAGCGCGAAGGCCTGCGTGATCCGCCATGAGGCCTCCGTCGCAGCGTGCAGTTCGCTTGCATCTGGCTGACGGCCTAACCTTGAGGCAAGGGCCTAAACTGCTCGCCAAACATCGCAAGCAGGAATGGCAACAGAAATACATATACTCTACAGATGTCTAGAAACCACATGGCACATGTTCTGTTAAGCCTAGAAGCGTTTAGGTGGCTTTACAGAGACCTTACTGGGAGACGCCCCAAGCCCTAAATCCCAAAGCCAAACCGCAACTCGGAACTTAGGTCTCCATTCGGAAACTCCAATACTTGGAGGTTCAGGGGTAGTTATAAGGGTTCCTTTACGGGTCCCTTTAAAGGGATCTGTAGGGATTCCATAAGGGTATAGGGTTTAGGGTTCATGGGTAGTTATAAGTAGGGTTATAAGTGCCCTAATTAGGGTTATAAGTATAGTTACCCTAGTTATAGCCCTACTTACAACTATCCATGAACCTCCAAGTATACTTCAGTCGGGGATGAAAGTGACCACGATTCGTGTACAATCTGAGGTGTCTTCATATGAGAGGTAGGGGCGGATTCAAGGGTTTCGCTTCGGAAGTCGCCCTGGGAGCTATATCGAAGCTACACTTGGGAGTTTCCGAAAGCTACGGGTTCCCTATTTTGGGGTCCTTATAATGATCCTACTATCTAGGGTACCATATAAGGGTCCCCTATTTTCGGAAACTCCCGAGGCTTCTACAAGACTCGCTCCACCCTAAATCTGAAGTTGCCCTGGACCCTACTGCTTCCAGCCACACCTTTTGCTCTCGAAAATCGGGGATCCTAATATGGTACCCTAAATAGTAGGATCCTTACTACAAGGACCCCAAAATAGGGTACCCCTAGTTTTCGGCAACTCCCATATCTCAACCCGAAGCCTCAAACCCACCTCGGAAGGCTCTGACAGAGGGCATTTCTAGCCTGGCCAAGCCTGGGGGCATATTTATGAGAGGGTTGTTGTTGCAGGGTGGGGTTTGGGATTCCGGAGTTTGGGGTTCTGGGTTTGGGGCGGAGGGTTTGAACCCTAACAAGCCAACTCCAACCTCTCCCGATCCCAAAACCCAAAATACTACTACTACTACTACCACCACCACGACTACTACTACTACTACTACTACTGCTGCTACTACTACTACTACCGACTACTACTACTACTACTACTACTACTACTACTACTACTACTACTACTACTACTACTTCTACTTCTATTACTACTACTACTTCTACTACTACTGCTGCTGCTACTACTACTACTACTACTACTTCTACTTCTACTACTACTTCTACTACTACTTCTACTACTACCACTGCTACTACTACCACTACTACTACCACTACCACTAACACCAAGTCCAATGCTAATATTAACTGCAACCCCGATGCTGGACCGGCAGCTTGTCCGGATGCCTTTGCAGTGCCAGGCGTCTGTAGGCTTGCTTGATCTCCGCCTCAGTTGCATTCCTGGCGACCAGGGCCCCTCAGACCCAAACCTCAGCCCAATGCCCGAAAACCTGCACTGTCGGGGTTGGGTCTGGTGTTTTCAGATTTCCAAACACAAGCCCTAGATCCGAAACCCTTGTAAAGCACTCGTAGATCCTGAAAGATCCCCTCAAGGAACCGTTAGGGAGGATTTTTTAGGTCGGAGCCTCGCGACGCCCAGCGCCTCGTAGGGACAGTTACGGGGGACGCTCACCGAGCTTTCCGATCTTGACAATTCCTCGGGGCAGCAGGGGCTTAGGGCCTAAGGGGTTGCTGAGTTTGAGGCTAAGGGTGTTGGATTCAATTCAAGACGCAGCTGCCATTCCCTGTCAGGATATGCATGAAGGCTTGCAATCTCCCCAAGAAGGAATGCAAAAAAGCCAGCTTTCGTCAGACTGTCTTGAACACAGCACCGTATCAATCCTACTAGCCGAGTCATGGCTCAACAGCGCCGGTACATGAGTGGGTTCACTGGCGATCGTCACAAACGGGATACTCCGGTGATGCGCTGAAGAGGGAGATGAGGTTAGGGCACAAAATTCACGTGAGAAGTATCAACACTGTCAAAAGAAGACCCTGACAGATTCAACCAGGGTCAGCAATCTGCTCAACACTACTCTTAGTCATCACACCATTGAGACAACAATGACGGTCATCTTACATTGCGTTCGAAGACTCTCGCCCTGATTCCGTTAGCTTGCGCAGAACTCTACGGGAAATTGCTCGCGGCTGGAGGTCGAAGCCAGAAGAGAGAAGAGCTTGGACCAGGTTTGTTCGTCCATGAAGTGGGGCAGCAAGCAGTGGTGCAAACAACTGCCCATGCATCGCGCGCTCTTCCATGCGAACACAGTGCCGGGAGCACAAGCACGTGGCTGCAGTTGTTTCACCTCTCGGTTGTCCTGCTGCTCTGCCTCCTTGCTGCTGCTGATGCATGGGCTCATAGGTTTCGTCTCGTCCCTCTTGCGCAAAACACTATTCATCTTGCTTGCAAGATGCCTACGCACATGGTGAGGAAAGTTTTCTATGCTGACAATGATGAGGGTGATGATCCTGAAACTGATGATGATGATGGTAGTGATGAGAAGGTGATGATGGTGATGAGAAGTGATGATGATGATGATGATGATGATGATGATGATGAAGATG